TTGGCCGTGTGCCCCAAAAGACCTTCAAATTTGCAGGGGATCATACTGAGATGATCATGGATGTTCTCACTGAAAGATCTCTGGCAGGGCGGTTTCAGATATCTGATCCTTTACGCATCTTTTCCGGGTAGCAAGAAGCTACTAGGTGGAGGCCATTGCTATAAGGTTGGAGGCCATTACTACTATATAGTAACAAGAAGCTACTGGTAGGGAGAACAATGGTCTGTTTCGGTTCATGAGTTGAATTTCCCCACGTTTCGGTCCTGGACCCGGCAGCCCGCGGCGAGCCGTCGCTGAAGTCAAGGCCGTTCCGTTCCGGGGCCGTCCGCAGGCTTCGAGGAATGGTCTCAGCATCCGACGTCTTGGCCTATGCAGCAGGCCCGGACCTCGGACTGCTCGCGCTAAGATCGGGGTTCGATCTTCATTGCTTTGCTGGGGGTGAGACGAAGAATGAAAGCCATTCGTTTTGTTGGTCGGATGGTTTGAATGAAGGTCATTTTGTACCACTTGTTCAGAACCGTTTGTCTGTTTCCACCATAGTTAAGGCCCCAGAGGACTTGAAAGTGCCCTTCTGATCTGTTTTCTTGTTGAAAGAGACTCAGACAATGATGTTGATGGATCTTCGCCGGGTTAGGAGGCCCCCACGCGCAAACACCAGAGTGTGGGTGGACTTTGTTTGCAACACGTTCTAACCGCCTGAAGTCCACTAAGAACCAGAGTGAGGGTGTTAGAATGTTACGTGATGTGATTCAGCATGTGAAGAGCGTAAAGGACTCGAGTGATGGCCTTAAGAGTCTACCAGGACTCTGCCAACCTCCTCATACACTGCAACCATCTGCAACCCATCTTGAGCACCGACGTGTTTTGTGTACCGTGCTGCCATTCTCAGGTTTGGAGTGACCTCTCTACCTTGCAAGCATACCATTTAGCCCGTGTACAAAATTGTACAAGATTGGGTCCGATGCCACAAAGCAAAGGCTCAGTGGCCAAGCTTTTGGCTTGTGACCAGATGTGGCCTAATGGCCTAAGTTTGGAACATATACACACACTGTTTGGAACATATGGGACTTGATCGAACGCTAACAGGTACCATGAAAGAGCGACATGACGAGAGTCAAGATTTTATTTGAGGATGGACAGCGAACACCTGCTCGAGTTGATCTAGTGAATGAAGCTTGTGATTCGTCTAATTTTTCCAAGCCAATCCCCCCGTGAAGTATCACCAAACCTGGGATGCAGATGCCGCATTCGCACCCTGGGGTAGTGGAAGCTTTTTCTTTGCTTCCTGTGATGGCCTCTGTGTGTCTCCGGAGAGAGTTCATGTAGCTGTCATGAATTGATGTACTCCGTGACCACTTCCAACCTGGTCATAGTGGAACAGACATATACTTCATCACTCAAAAAGCATGTGCATCGTTTTCATCATTCGGGTTGCCCAAAAGGTGACCGGCGGCTCCGAACCGTTCTGATCTCCGTAGGCATGTGAGAAGGTCACTGTAGTGGTCCCCAAATAGATAGTGGCACGGTTTCCCATATAATCCCATACATTTTTAGAGGAGATCTAAGAATCTACTTTTCTATTTGTTTGGGGGTCTATATAGAATATGATGCTCGATCTTAATTAATAGAAGGGTTCCCCCC